CGCGTGGCGCTTTTGTTGCCGGCGGCAGCCGAACCAGAACACTGGAGAACAGCACAGGAAAAAGGGAAGGAAACTGTCACCCAGCTGAGAGCAATTGCAACAGCACTGTAGCAGCAGTCAAGAGATGCAGCTGCATAAAGTTTTGTCCTTGTGGAGGTGATGACTTGTAAATAAGAAACTGCTGGAGATTGTGTGGAAGTGCAGATACTCATCATGATGTGGAGATTAATATAAAATCCTGTAGTGGCAAGGAAATAGGGAGTTCCTAAGGGAAAAGTGACAAACTGAGATACCTGGCCTTGACAGATGTAACACTTCAAGGTGAACGCTACATTCATTAACTTAGATGAGTTCCAAAATAGGCTATTTTAGCTCCTGCTTATGAATGGAGAATTGGAAGGAGTGTATGTGTGCAAGACATTCAGATAGCATTTGTTCTGGGCAATAAAAGACTTGAAATACAGGAGGAATAATGCAGTTTGATTTCTTGCAGAGAGGAAGAGAGAAGGAATTGGCTTCAAACATGGCAAGCTCTTCTACTAGTAGAGTGCACTTTTAGCTTTGTTTCTCTTAATTGGAATGGAATTGTGCAAGTTATAATTACTCTGGAAAACCTACTGTCACAAAAGCAGTAGGATCTTCAAGGATCGTAAAAAATTGAACTGACAGATTGAGGTTGTTTTGGAGGAGATATCCATAGCATTGCTGTGCTGTCGTTGATCATTGTGTGTTTGGCTTGTCATTGGTACCTGATGAACATTTGTAAGAGTGCAAACTATATTTTCTCATTATTCTCCCTTGACTAAAACTGGGTGAAGTAAAAATGTTTACATTGCACCATTGCCAACCATCTGGAAAAAATCTAATTTATCCATAAAGTAGAGCTGGAATGCTTCATAAATCTGTAAGTTATTTGCAGTGTGCTTGGCTTTACTGAGAAAAAGTTTGTAGTTTCTTTACACTCTCCCTCTAGAGGGAAAAATCTCCAGTTGTCTCTTCAGGAGTTCATAGCAGTAGCCTAAACTTCTCTAATGGTTGCTAGATGCTGACGGCATGAGGTACAATGAGGCCCAACATTTTTATGCAACAGTGAGATTTCAAGATCCAAGGTTCGCTTTCTGTTCTCAGCTTTCTTGGTTAAGGATGCAGTAAGGCTTATCCTCTTGCTGAAGAGGAGAACTTTTGCCAGCTATGGTTTTTTTCCTTCAGTTCTCTGCTACTTCTAGCTGTACTTGCCTGAAATTTGACTTGCAGTAAAGAAGATATATTTTACAGTCATGTGTATGATGTATTTATACAGAGAGAAAAGTGGCATAGTACACGAGCTGTCCTTGTGGTAGGTAGTATTCATCTTCAGAATGACTTTGGTATCAAAGGTGGCTGTTTCCTTATGAATGCAAGAATCCATCTTTTGCCATGGGAAGAAATAGAATAATTAGTTTTTTGTCAGGTGTGCATGCTTGTGCACATAAGAAATGTGGAAGTTGCTAATTCTGTTTCCCTGTCTTGTCAAATAGATCATCTAAAGCAGCAAAAGAAGATTTCGACAGCACACAGATACTTAATCTTTAAATCAAGTTCAATGATGCATTAGAGGAAGCTGGATTGGCTGCACAGAGATTTCACACTGAAGGATGAATAGTGAAGAAGAGTTTTATGATGCCGTTACGGGTGAGTGATGGGCACAGTGCCAGCAGAAAAAAAAAAAGGAAAAAAATGTCGCTATAAACTGCATTGTATGTGTGGTGAGGGGCTAGTAATAAATTGCTGTTGAGATATAAATAAAAAGTAAACCACTGTTGGTAAAACTTGTGGTGCTATCTTCTGAAAAGAAGAAAGGAAGATTTCTAATTCAAGTTCAGACTTGGGAGTGGGAGGGATTTTATTAATGCTTAATGCTGGCTATTATTTTATCACTCTAACTGTCCTTTAGTGGCAAAGTCTTGCTTTCATTTTCTGTGAAATGCAGGTAACTTAATAGCAGCTTGAGAAGTAATGCCTTTAAGACCCTCTGAAAGATGAAATACCTTCTGTGGGTTATTTTTATTGTTACTTTATTAATTGCTTTATTTTAATGGAAAACTTACCCTGAAGAACTGAAGTAGAAAATGTTTTTCTAGTCAGAAACAAATTACTTCACAAGTATGCTTTCAAGATAGGGAGCCAAAAGTCTTTGCAATCCAGTGTTGTTTCTAGAAAAGCAAACATGAATCATCTCACACTTGAGCAGTGTATCAAATAGTACTTTTAACTAATAAGGATGAATGGTTGCTTATAAGAGCCTTACATGGTTTTCATGGTGAAATAAAGTGCTTAAAGTATTTTAATATACAAAAGCAAACCCTTTCGAAGATCTCAAACCATTTTAAAGTCTTCCACTTAAATGTCCGCTTTGAAATAGACGTGAAATGAGAAAAGCTGGCAATGGTGAGTGCAGAGTGCTTAATGTGGAATTGCGGGAGTGGAAAGAGGATAATGGGAAGCATGCAAGCTGAAGGAATGGAAGTAGCGTGGTAGATGCAGGTGGGTAAGGTAGATTTAGACATGGTTGGTTGGAAAGTCAGATGAGGAGTAAACAGAGGGGACTGGGTGAAGCAATGTGACTGACAGTGGGCAGTATAGGACTTGTCACAATTATGTCACGGAAAAGAGAAGGAAATTTGGATTGCTTTCATGCTAGCTAGGAGGCGTAGGAGCCAGTACTCCAAAGTCATCTGTGAAATCGAATCGCTGTGCCATAACAATCTTGAAAACACAATGGATTGTTCCTGTATGTCTTTAGTAATCTTTCAATTCCAAGAGCTCAGGGCCATGGCCATAAATGAACTAGACCTTTTTCCACTGAAAAAGGTGAACAGAATGTGCCTTAAAGTATGAGGTCTGTGTCATACAGCTTTGATGTTGATGCATTCCTATGTCTCTATGCAGCCCTCGATGTTTGAGTCATCTGTGTTTGAACACTCTGGTTTTGTGCTCTTTCCTATTCTTTTTCCCCTGTCTTCAACCTCAGAAGGTCGATTCTCCCTGCAAATGCTCAAGGTGGTAATGACTTCTGAGCTATTGTGCGTGACATGTTCCTGTACCTTGCAGCCTTCGCTGGCTGTGCTCAGAAGTGGGATATTGTGCATCAGTTCTGTGAGCACTCCTTGTCCCATCCTAATGTTACTCTTCCACAGGGAGGAATGTGATGGCAGGACAGATGTTTCTAAGCAAAAGAAGATCCAGTATCTTTATAGGCTCTCAGCACAGCCCTGTTCTGATGGAGGGTGTTTGGTCTGCAGCAGCCATTCCAGGGACTAAGTGAGGTTGAACTTTTTTCCCTTATATATGTTGCCCTGGAGAGTGCCCTGTAGGTACTTGGTTTGAGAAGAGTGCTAAGTCTGGAATAGTTTGTTTCAGATTCTTTCTCCCTCAGGATTGTCTTTAAAGACAGGTGTTCAACCTCTTTCTCCAGGTAGATGCTTTAGAAGATGCTGCCACTTTGGTGCGTTACTTGCACAAACCCAGTGAAGTCTAGACCTAGTTCTTTGTAGCTGTGTCTTGTCCAAGTCATACGTAAATGTGATGTTAGGAACAACTGTAAATAGGTCTTTCTGTATTCGTGTTCCCCAGCTGCTGGTGCCTGTAGCAACTCTTTGCTCCTGTTAGCACCATGGGCTGTGTATCGTTCAGATGGTGCTTTGCTGAATTTTTTAGCTTCTAATGGGTCCTGATTGTGCCTGCCTATGTCTTAGTTTTCAGATGGTCTGGACATGGTAGGTGTAGACACAGTACTCCCAGGAGATCAAGTTCAGAATTGAGATTGTTTCTGAGCCAAGGTGAGCTTTTGGGTTCCACAGTGAAAACTTCAGGATTTGAGGTTTCAAATTTTGATTAAAAAGCAAAATGCCCTTGGCAGACTTCTCAGTCTGTTCTTTCCAAGGATACTCTCCTTCCCTTAGATCAGATCAGCAGATGGGCAGAAGCCGCCTTTAGACTTGTGCTTGTTCTGCTCGAAGTGTAGGACTGGGACAAGGCTACCAGGAACAAGCACGTTCTCCAGCTGTGTCTTAGCTCCGTGTTGAGATGAAAACACCATACTCTTCTCCTCTTGCTCTCCCAGAGTCCTGGGCCCTTGTTTCCCCAGAGGAAACTGCGACATATTGCCACAAGTTCACTGACTCTAGTAATTGGGTAACGTGGTTTGTGTCCTATAAGTAGCAACCCAGGCTTAGTAGTAGAGCACTTGAACTCCATGGGAAGTTACGCTTTAGAATTCTGCAGCAATCTCAGCAGCAGCCCAAGTAGTATGCTGCCTCCTTTAGGATACTATGAGTTCACTCCTTGAGGAAGCTGCAACTTTTCTGTTATTAATTGATGACGTTCACTTCTAGACCACGCATCTGTCTTAAGGAGACCCCTGGTTTTTGTTGTGGTGGATTTCATCTCTTTGGATGAGAAATTTCCTGCTTCTGGCTCTGTCCTCCTCACATGCAAAAGGCATGCTCATGTGATGGAATTGCATGCTGCGTGGTTGGGAGTCATCCTCCTGGCAGATGGTTTGACCCTGACTGGAGGATGATTACACTTGCAAATGTGCAGGATGGACTGTGTTATACAGGTGATGAATTGAGTCAGTGACTGGTGAAGAATTTCCATGGAGAGAAGTTTCTTTGCATTCAGAGGCTGTTAGCATTGCTGATTGGTTGGACACTTGGTGTCCTTACTTCATGAATGAGTACTCCCCTGGGGAATCTCTTGGGAATGTTACCTGTGGTCTCGGTTAATTCTTGTAGCACAGCATCTGCTTTTTTGCAAATACAGGAGGTTGTCTTCCCTGAGACTAGATCAGGTAAAGTGGTCAGTCCTTTGATGAACTTCATGTTCTTTCAAACTTTATGTGAGATGGGGAGCATATAGCTTTGATCACTTCCCTCTAGCCTATGTCACCTTGGGTTTGTTAATCTCATCGCATACTTGTTGAAGACTGTGTGCCATCAGGTTCTGCTCTGTCAGAACTGTGTCCTTCGTTAGTTGTCAGATACCCATTTGCCAAAGTGTTTTGTGAAAGGGTTGCCGCAGAACAGGAAAATGCTTGGCTAGTTATAGGGTAATTACTTTTGAACAAACATGAATTGTATAGTTTTGCTTTTTTAAATATTAACCTGCAGTTCCATGGAAATCTGTTCTGTGCCCATGAGGTGAATCCAGCCTGGTGTATTTGTGAGGACGTTGCCCTTCTGTTTCCTATTGCTTGGCTGTTGTTCACTGTAAACTATTGCTTTCACCTGGGGAGAAGGAAGTGAGGTATCTGCTGCCAAATTTATACATTTTCATAATGTATGGATCAAACTGAATCAGTGGGTTCTGCCATGATGTTTAAGTATTGCAGATCTCGGGGAAGGCCAGCCTGCCTCCGATTGGAGCAGCGCAAATACGGGTACGTGTTGTGAAGATGGACTTGTTTTGAAAAGTGGAGAATGGTCATTTCTGGCAAAGAAAAAATTACCTCTCGCTTCACTTGCTATCTACGCTTCCAACGTAGTTATCCCTATTCCTTATGCCCTTTTTAGATCTGAAGATTCTGAGTACTACATTATTTTGATTCCCTTTCTGTCCTGAGTGACAAAGCTTCTTAATTAGTATTGAAGGAAGTTGCTGACGGTACGAAAGGGGCGGTCTTGTGTCTTCGTACATGACTCGTAGAACCGTGTGCGCCTCTGCTCCCTCGTAGGTGGATGTATAGCGTAGTCTGGGTGGACTTGTTTCCTTTGCAGGATGTGGAAGAAGAGGGCTAAGAAAACTAGAGTTACTGGCAAGTCTCTTTTCTTTAAGCTCTTGAAATAGATTAATGTTGGCACCCAACTTAAGTGTTTGATTGACTTTGAAAATTTAAGAGTTTTTAAAAGCTTTTGTTTCACCCTTAACACACCAAAGTTGAGACTTTTGATTAAGCTAATTTTTGACATTTTATTTCTGTGTGTGGTCCCCTTATCCCCCATTTAAACCCCCATTTTTATCCTTACTCTCAGTGGCTTTTCATTATAAAAACTGTCCTGTATGTAAAACTTATCTACTCAGTTTTGTAAGTTCAAGGCTTTAATGGCAGGTGGAGAAAGGCTCTTTTTGTGAGTTAGAAAAACTACAACAAATCATTTCAGTGAACTGTTTTTATTCCAGATCAGTAGCTCCTCTGTGAAGAACATTCTCTGGATAGTTCTTCACAGAACTATAATATTTAGAACTTCATCGAGAAACAGCTGTTAAAACTTTCTCAATAGGCTTGTAGTAGGCAAGCCAGGTGATACTTAAGGTTGAAAGTATAGTTGAAAGTCTAGTGATTATCTAGCTGTGTGGGGTTATTTTGATTTTTGTTTTGTTGTTTGTTTTTTTTTAAAAAAAAGTAATTGGGTGGAGCTGCACTCTTAATAAGGTAGACTTTACAGTTCTGACATATTATTTTTCTGGAGCAGGGATTTAGTTTTTGTTGTTTATATGCAAGATACTTGTTTGAATTGGTATTTATTTACTTACCAACAACATATTGTTGCCCATTATTAATATATATACCTGAATCTATATTCCCATTGCACTGTACAGGAACAGGTCAAAACATTTCTGAATCCTGGAGAAATAGAAAGACTAGTATGGGTGAAAACAATGAACACTTGATAGGATTTGCAAGGTTTCAGGTACAATGTAAAGACTGTAATTCCAGTAACATTTTTCATAACTGTTCCCCTGTAAACCAGTTGACTGTTCCTGTTGTGAAGCTTTACTTTTACATTTAGGTGTGTTTATCTCATTGAACTGCCTGTTAAGTGTGATCCTGTTCCTCACGTTGTGTATTCTTGATCAGCTTTCTGAAAAGCTCATCTGTTTTTTCCAACTTGATCGGTCAAACTAATAAAAGTAATTTTGTTATGCCCTGCAGTACTTGCCTTTTCCATCTCCTTGTACTGTAACAGGTTCCAAAAAAAGTTAGTATGTGGTTAGAAATGCCATTTTAAAAAACGTATTTTGTTGTGGATTGACTGAAGATAGGCACGTGGATTTTTTTTTAAGACAGGTGTTTCAGGGTAGTCTTCATTTTAATGACCTGAATATATATATATATGACTATCATACTTTCCAATTAAGTACTGAGACTGCTAAGGTGTGGTTATTGCTGTATAATTACATGCTTGTGACATCAAAATGTAGAAGATGGTTTAGTATGTGACATCACCCATTACGCCTGTTGTTTACCAAATAAGATCATATTGGTGATACTTCCTTGTTTCCAAACTCCGGCAGTTTTGAGTGCTATTGTCATGGTCTTGATCCCTGAAAAAAATGCAGCTTTTTGTTTCTGAATGTATGCCTTGCATGAATTGCTCCAATAAAGTCAACACACCCTGTTGGAGATATTAGCAAAAAGAAAAGTTGAAGTACCACTTATGATAGATACTCTCTATTTTTGAAAAGTGAATGCCAGAGGATCACAATGTCTTACTCTATTTAAAATTGAGATAATCTTTGTCAAAACTGATTTCTTTACTCCATGAGAGTGCTTACATGCTTTATAATATTTCAGAACCTTTCTGTACTCACAGCTGGACTTTGGGACAGGCTGTAGCTGAGTGTGATGGTAACTGTCAGCACATAGACAAGTGGTTGCCCAGGTTGTGATAGCTGGAATGAAAGGAATAAAAAAATGATGTTAATGTTTGCCTGAAAACTGTGGCAAGAATTGTATGCCAGCAGATATGCATATTTTCATATTGCTTTTCGTGTTGCTTTTGGATTCTGACTCTTAAATTGGAAGCTGGAAATTAAAGTTGTCATGTGGTTCTGGATGAAGAATTGACCCTTGTGGGACTCAGAAAGGACTTAATGCTCTTTGAATTATTTTCAACAACAATGTTCCTTTATTTCACTGAATGATCAGCAGTGCTTCCTGTTGTCATACTGTGACAGTTGTGAAGGGGGATTGTATGAAGGCATCGTTTCAAGGTGCCTGTATTGATGCTGCGACTGATCCTTATTTGTTAATGGTTGTTTCATTTCTGCAGTCAGTCTGTGTAGCATCATTGACTGGAGACCTGTTGCTGTTGATAGTGACCAAGTCTGTGTGTGTATACATGCATATAATGTTATTTACAATTTTCTTATTTGAAGGCATATGCAAAAATAAATTGTTGTTATTTGAAGTGTTTGTGGGGAAGTAGTGTGACTTAAAAAAAATTTAAAAATTAAATCTTGGATTGTTGGTTTAGTCCATCTTGTACTTAGGGCTGCTTGATCACAGAAGGTTGTGTTACTGTAAATTCCTGTTGGTTTAACTCTTTTGATGGCTAAAGCTGTTCAAAGCATGTTGTTACTGGGTGTGCTGGCACAGTTACAACGGCGTTTCCAGTAGCTATCTCCCCAGGCGGATGGAGTTGGGTCAGAGGACATGGAGCCTTACTGTAGGTCATGCTTTGGGTCGCTTGTAGAGCTCAGGGAATGATTCATCTTGGTGTCCACAGGTTCTTGCTGTAACCATTAGGGAAGTGTTGTATGGTTTGCACACGTGGATGGCAAAAAGAAGTTAGGTATCCTCCATTTCTGTTGCTCTGGTAGTCTGGACGCTTGCCCCTGGATTGTGAAATGGCCCTTTTCTCTCTTTTTTTTTTTTTTTTTTGCTCCTTGCCTGTTAGCAGTATAAGTAGGCTAAGTTAACTTTGAGGAAAACTATGTAACTGAACAAAATTATTGTAATCACACTGCAGCTCTGAAGAAGAGACAATACAGCTAATCTGATTAGGAGCTACTGAAGAGTTTGTAAGATTGTAAATTGGTTTTATATTCAGCAGTGTGAGAAATTATTTGAGAATGCTTGATTCTAATGCAATACTTGGCTCTAAATACTCTTGGAAATTAGGTCACTTAATAAAAGGTTTTCACTCTGATATTCTTTAAAATAAAATAACCTGGTATAAGTGTACTTATGCTGTGAGAATTACAAAATGTGAGTGGCACTCCGTGGCATAATAAGGTTCCTAAGAAAACTATTGCCTTGTGGTTTTTATACAGGCTTTGATTCTGACAATTCGTCAGGAGACTTTTCAGAAGCAAATCATAAAGTTGCAGAAATGCTTGATCTAGATCCAAACCAAAGCAACAGGACTGGAAAGCATAACGGAGAGACAGAGATTCAAGAAAATGGAATTAAGAAACACAGGTAAACACACAGTGCTACACAGAAAATGAGAAG